CAACGTCATCTTATTGAAGGAGTTGTGCTCATATTTGACTTCAACTTTGATTAATTGGAAGTGATATATGATGCATCTTAGCTTAGTGTAGCCGATCGTAAAGATGTTCAAGATAAGTAGCCTATGTTTGAATTTACAGTTCGAAAAGACAAGTTTTAAAAGAAGAAAAGAAGTTTGGAAAAAAATAGTAGAAGAAGAGGTAGAAGATGTGCTTGACCAAAATTTTAGGAATCTAAAGATTAGATTGGCAGTTATGTCATCTTCGGTAGAGATTTTGAGTGATTCTACCACTATTCAGTTGGAAGCTAAAAATAATGTCAATGTTGGTTTACATGGACTCAAAGATAAAATTGCAAACAAAAATTTAAGAAATAATAGAAGAGAATGGAAAGGGAAAGAAATTTGAAAAGAATCTAATGGTAGATTGCTAGAATCTATGCCCGAGTTTGACTTTCAAGAGTAAGCTTAACATGGACCAAGTGCTGCAAAGTAGCAATGAATCACACGTCTGTATCGATCCCATGAGAAATAAGCAAACCCCCAAAGTGAAAATTTTGTCCTACTAGTTTTGAATCTAGCCTGAAGGTTTGAAGTACTGCAATTTTGACAATTCACTAATCTTAACTTTTTAAATAAAAAAACTTAAGTTGTTGAAGTGTGAATTTCAACATAATTTTTTTAATGCAATTAAAATACACCTCTAATTTTGTTTTACATGAATCTAAGTTTGATTAGATGATTTAAATATGGGTGATAATCAGGAGCAGATCTTCTCCTTATCTCTTTCCGGGAATCTAAGTAGGTTTGGCAATCACATAATTTTAGTTCACTAAATCAAGTGATTTGTATGGGATTCTTTATTTTTCTACAAGATTACACTAACCTAAAGGTAATATAACTATCCTTTTAAGATAACTTGTTTTAACCTAGTTTTTCCACTATGGATTCTTCTGCAACTATAAAATAACAATAAATTTTAATTGTCGAACATGTCAATTAATGGTAAAGAAAAAATTGAAGCTTAAAACACCACCTTATTAAAAGTTTATAAAATCACACAGAAAAAAATAAAACTTCAAATTTCTACATCAGCAATTCAAAGGAGAAAATCATTATACTCACAAATAAGACTTGAAAACAACAACGTGAATGTTTCATTAATGGAAAATATCAAAAAAAAATATTTTGAAAGGATAAAACCTGATGAAATTCACCAAGAACATTGTAAACTTGTTTCTCTTCCTTCTCCAAATGATATATCAAGATTACAAGCATAATTTCCCAGTAAAAATTCTTGCGATCACTCCACATTTCACTCTCTAACACTTGCACTTTGTGTCTCTGTATTTTTCTTTATTCCATGTGCTCTCGAATGCCTCATTTTGCCTTCGTCAACTTTCCATGTGAATCGAAGCCTGCAAACTTCTCAGAACATCAAAATGCATGAATTGGCTCCAAGACGTTGGTATACAATGCTTAGACGTTGGTTTCAAATGCATGAGCATTAGCAATTTGGCGCCTACTTTTCACCTACTTGGGTTCTGGTGCAAGGGTTTTGGGTACCTAGGGACCCAAATCTAGCACCTAAGAACTTAGGTTGCGACGCCTAGGTGCTTAGGTTACGACGCCTTGGCTCTTGGATTGTAATGCCTAGGTGCCACTAACCAAGTGCCTACTTTCCATGTTCTCTAGACTCTGGATCAAATTCTCACTCCTTGGACGTTTATGAGCTCAAATTTTGTGTCTAGTTGCTCCGCTTTTGCACCTTGGCACTGCTCCTCTACTTTGTTCAATTCTTCGCTTTTTCTACTTTGATGAATCTTCTATTCTTAAGCCTACAAAATACATCACAATCACATTCCAAAATCACAAAATTAATATAAAATCAGATAAATATAAAGCATATACAAGTACATTTCGAATACACGACAATTTCTCATATACTTAAACATTACTTACCCACAAGTAAATTAAAAATCTAAAATTAAAAAAACACAAAGTGTGGTGGTAGCTGGTGATTAAGGATTTAGTGCTTCCTAATAATATAGAAGGTACATATTAGTACCCCCAATATCCTATATAATAAATTGTAATATAAATCTATATAATCATCCAAAATTATTTATATGAAGGTTAAATAGCATCCAATTAATATGAACCTAAAATCCATTTTTCTATTCAACCAAACCGACTTAGTCCCGTTACCATTTTTATGAATACAAAGTCCTAGATTATGTTAGAAAATTTATTGGCCCTTTAACCTTTAGAAGAGAAATTGGAATTACTTTTTAATCTGAGCTTAACCTAAAGCTTCTCCCCAAATGTTCTTGAATTTTTTTCTTCACTTTTTATTAAGAACATTTTCTATATTTTTTTTGTTTCATTATTTATTTATCCTACTTTTTTATTTCCATTTCTTCCCTTTTTTACTTGAGAATACTATATCTGATTTACCTTTTATAAAGACTTTGAATCACAATTCTCCTTGTAACTTAAATTTTCATTACTAACCTAAGTCTAATGTTCGTAGGTCAAGAGATAGTAACTCAGAATCAATTTTTTTTTTAATTAAGTAGAGACTACATTTTATAGTATTGAAATAAAAATTTTAAATATACTTAATATTCAAATAAATATTTAGGAATGCTTATAAAGATAAGTAATTACAGTTAATAGAAATCAACGATTAGTGAATGACTAATCTTTTCCTATTCATCAAGAAACACATGTCACTTTCACTTATATGTTTTCCTTAGCATTAGATTGCACTTATCTTTAGGTAGGACTACCAACTTTATTTATGTGTATTCAAAAGATGAATTTCCATTTTCAATTGTCAATTCCATTGCTCGCTCTCCCTCACTTGCTCTCTCTTAGTTGTTCGTACTCTCTTTCATCTCTCCCACATCCCTCTCTCGCAATCTCTACCTATCTCTCTCCCTTTTATCTCTCTCTCTCTGTCTTACGCTTATGTCAATCTTTCCCCCTCTCCCATCCCCCCCCTCCCTACCTCTCTGCATCCCTCTCTTTGTCTCTCTCTCCCTCACTCACACACTCTCCCTCCCTCCCTTGCTAGCTCACTATCTCTCTCCCACTCTCTTTTGTTTTGTTTGATCCTACCTCTTTTTTATCTATCTGAACCTTTCCCTTTTCCCATCTCTGCCTTGCCTCTACATATCTTTCTCTTTTTTAAAGAGCAATTAGCTAAAATTCCAGAGCATCATGGGCCTCAGTAGGAGCATGAAAGAACAACAAGCATTTGCTAGAGGAATCCAGAATCCCCCCCCCCCCCCCCCCCCCCCCCCCCCCCCCCACACACACACCAAAAGAAAATAAAATTGTTAGTTAACATGAGAAATTTCTACACATGGAACAAGAAATCACAAATTTTACATGAGTGATACCACACGAGGAAATAAAACTTTATGATCACATGAAAGTCCAACATGAAATGCTTCTACACAAGAATCCCAATAGGCTAGTTTGAGATTAAGAAAACATGGAATAAAATTTCAAGAAAGCATAGTTCAAAACTAAAGACGCATAAATAATGACATAGTGTCGGTTATAACTTACCATTACAAATAAAATGTCCTTAAAACAATATATGATAAATATAGAATCCCAACACATCACAAACATAGCACAAATATCCAATCTAAGGAAGCTACAAACCAAAAAAAATAGCAAAGTCATAACATAAAAATGAAATAACAACATTCAAATAGAATCAAACCAGTGTCCAAAAAATTCATCTCATCAAAACTACTCTTGGCCTTGCTTATTGTCATCTTTCTCCATCAGCTTGGTGGTATCATCATAAAGCCTGAAAGTGGAATAAGGTGTGCTATTGAATTCAACCGACATTATTTTGCATGCAAGTGGTGTAGAAGCATTAACTAAGTGCTACAACTTCTCTCATATATTTTTCACAAATCGAATGTCCCTACCCCCAAATTCCATACATATATAGTATAACCCAACCATTTCAAACCCTAGAATAGAATTTATTGATGACTTTTTTCCAATATACTAACATACCTTAACTCCATTTACGCATAATCAACGTTCACATCACACCAACCTTATAAATCGTATATTTAATCTAATAATTCATAATATTATTGATAAATGCCACCAAATTCATTATAACTTTTAATATGTAATCATGCCTTCTTAAACATTATAAAAATAACACCATAATTAAATGGAGTTAATTACATTAAAATTAAAAAACGAACTTAATGGTTAAAATAAAACTACTTTATTTGTATCGCTTCATAGAACAATGATTAAACATATATTGATTTAAAAAAATACTAAAAATCTTATTTAAGATCTACTTTCTCAGGATTCAAACCTTAAAATGTTAAATTAAACGTATTTTTTTAAGTGCATGTAAAGAAATATAATATAAATCAACTCATATAAAGAGATTTTATTTTTATAATAAGATTTTGAACTTCTAATCAAATTAATGTTACAGCCTATAATCCAAAAAAATTGCAAGAAGTGAGACAAGCTGTGAATAAATCCGCAGTCCGGGCCTTCTCCCACGTTCAATTATCACAAACCCTTAATCTTTCGATAAGGCTGACCTAAAAAAGGCGCCCTAGATGGATAAAGAAATTCAAGGGGCAGGCCAAGCTCGGAAGAAATAAAAATAATAAATTCCGATATTAATTAGAAACAAATTATATTTTAAAGATCCAAAAATCTTAGTCTGCCTAACAAGAGGCATATATATATATATATAATATATATATATATATATATATCCACGAGCGCAATTGGGTTCCTCGGCTTTCATCCGAGTCATAACTCCTTGGAGCAAGCAAAATGTCGGTTCTCAAAACAAACAACCGATGGAGAATCTACTACCAATCGACGGATGAATAATTCGTAAAAACAATAAACGATCAGCTTTGGGTAATAGTGGGCGAGCAGCTGGGGTTCTGAACGAAGATTCGGACCTGAATAGATTACTAAAGTTCATAGCATATAAATTGAAATTAAAGAGGTGAAAAAATTACTACAAGGATCACCTTCGCAGAAAGGCATTTACATTAAATGATGTTACAGAAACAGCCAATTATATCTGATACAGATTCAGCCAAGCAAAGCTGCTGGCATAAAATAAAATAATGTTAGTAATGTAAATTGATTACAAGCCTACCTATTGAGTGCATGCTGACGCAGGATGGAGAATTTTTTTCCTTGCAGTGAGGAGCTATGACGAAGATCAGCTCTGGAGAAGGGAAACAATGGTCAAAATTTACAAGCAGGGAACTAGCAAATTTACCAAACTGGTTCAATTTGGCATTTGGCACAAGCATGCGCATATCCAATATGGGATCATAACCCTGCAAAATTGTTACTGTCCCTTCGGATGACTTAATTTGTCATGCATTCCTTCTAATTTTAATGCCAAATCAAAGGTTTGTCAAATATCAAGAGTTAAGTGTTACAGAAGACAGAATGATCATTAATCTTCAGGAAAATCAGGAGTCTTGAAAATTATCACTAGTAGTACGTTGACTATTTTATGAAGTCAACAATTCTTCTTGTTTATTTTGCAATAAATGCGTTCTTTTTCTGAATCCAAACCTTTGAAATCTCTCCAAGAGATTTGTTAAGAGTTATCACCGATATTACATGCTTCCCGCTCAAGTTGTGGGAACCAACTATGAAGAAAAGCTCTAAATTACTGGGTAACACATACTGGGCAATAATATTATAATGATGAACAAAAAATTATGAGATTGAATACTTTAAAGCCTAGATTTTAGTATTTGTTCAGAGATTAGAAGATTAGTGTTAGGATAATTACTATTAATTTTATTCTTAATATTTTCAAGATCCCCCGTGCAAAAGACTTACAGAACACATAATTAAAAGGGCTAACTTCGGTTAAAGTTGCCAATAAATTAAATGTAAAGTTGACATGGCTACCTTCGGTTCAAGCAATTTTCGACTTTGAGCAAAATACTGGTTTGGATGATTGATCCCAGTATCACAAGATGCAGCATGGATAGTTTCAAAAGTCAGCGTGCAAGCTAGCTGTAAATGAAACGAAATTCTGTTGACAAGCTGGTAAAGCGAATATGGAAAAGACAATCAAAGCATACCAACCTGGTAATGGCGATTTCGAACTTTTTCCATCACATCATCCATTGCACGTCCCCCAACGCCCATTTTTGCAAGCGCAGCTCGCAAGTAATCTTCACTGCAAAACAATAAAAAGAATCAATCCGATTTCTTTTTTTTTTTTTTTTTTTTGCTGAAGTGTGCTGCCATGAGACTTTATAGTGTGGGACATAAGGGAAGGAAAGATTAGTTTGCGGTATGATGATCGGACCCTATTAGGCCCTCTTGTTAATTTTGTCAAAGGTAATTTCAACAAGGACCTTCTTGTTGCTGATGTTCGGCATAATGAATCATGGAACCTGCAGGAGCTCAGTATTCAGCTGGACAGGGAGCCGATTCATTATTTTTCTGATATCAAAATTGTTGCTGAGAGAAAGGATGGCCGCAGAATTAAACATACGGGCAGTGGTTCAGTGTCTAGAATATTGCTAATAAGATACATCACATCAAACTCAGGAAATCTGTAGTGGTAAGAAGATATGGAACCAGCTACTGAACCTTCCCAATCCTTCTTTATTTGGAGACTACTGCATAAACTCCTTCCTGTTGATGATATCCTGAAACTGAAAGGCATCAGAGGTCCTTACTGTCTGCTATGTAAACAAGCTGAGGAGACACTGCAACACCTTTTTCTGACCTGCAATTATACTACCCCCATTTGCGACAAACTTGCCATGGAGTACCATGTCCAGATCTCTACTAGCAGCTCCTCACTAAATGAATTCTTATACTGTTGGCAGTCTAATTTCCCTCAAAAGCAAATTTTATATTATGTACCTGTTGACCTCATTTTTAGTGAGGTGTAGTCTTTCTCTTAGGGTTTAGGATCTAGCCTTAGGAATCTCCCTTTGACTATCCTAGAACCTTAAAAATGAGACCCGCCTCATTTTAGAAATTCAACATACTTCTGTACCCTTTTAGAGTTTCGCGTGTGTGGTATCGACTTCTAGTGCTTAGAAGGGTGAAACCAACATGAGAGAATCCAAAAGGAGTCCCTATAGGACCTTAAAGCCTTAGGGTGGTCTTTTGCACAATTTGCACTCCCGCGCGCACAAACTTCGCAATTCGGAGAGTCGACACGTCCGATCACTACAATTCACACCGCTTGCACTGTTATCTGTCGAGGACTCGAATAGATTTTGGAGACGATCGATCGCAGGTTGAAATGTTATGAAATTTGAATTTTGACGTGTTTTTGACCCGATTGTCGACGATGCCGTCCGAGCGACCGCGGATGAATAAACAGACTGCACCGGCACATCAGGAATGTTGATTTTGCCTAGGGAGGACACCCATTTTGTTATGACACCGCGCGTGAATAAATTGCGTATGATTTAATATTATATATATATATATATTAATAAAAAAACAAAATCTCTTTTTTTTCCTTTTAAAGCCCTAAGTCCCTAAACTCACGCACTCGAGCTCTGTTTCCCTTTCCCTCTCCCGTTCGCGCCCTCTCTCGGTCCCAAGCCAATCAAGCCCTTCTCCTCCACGCAAGAGAGAGTTGACCTCTCATTCGTCCTTGCCCGACACTTTCTGCTCGAGACTCTCCTTCCCGAAGCTGCGTCTGCCTATATGAGCTGCGATTTTCCTTTTTTGGTAGGTTGACTCTGATGAACTTGCTCTGTGGAACACTTGAGTGGCAACCTTCTTTTCTTCCCAATGCTTCTCTCCCTGCCACTCTGCTCACCACTTGGACTTGGGCACTTCGGTTGCCTCGCCAGCGGTAGGCAGAGGGGAGCGTTCTTTTCTTCTTTGACCCGATTCGAGTACCAGGGGGAGGTTGGATGGTTTCATTATTTTTTCCTTCTCTTCTCTGCCTATAAAATAGAGCTTCTTTTGGGTTTTGTGGTTGAAAATTTCCTAAGAAGAGGGGAAGTGGAGAACTTTGCCTTTGGAGGATTTTAGAAGGAAGATTTCTGTGGGAGCTTTACATTTGCATTAGAAAGGTATCTCTTCTCCCCCCTCTTTTCGGTGCCTTGCTTCCTTTAGGTTTTCTCTCTGTCGAGCCACTGAGCACGGCTTTGTTAGATGGTACAGCATGCTAGTTTAATTCACTTTCATGTATTTTGAGATATTTGCCTTAAGAGTATGTGAAAGATAAAAATGTGAGCATGTTTCAGAAGTTATATTGGATTACTTGCTTAGAATGGTAGAAATATAACATGACATAAGTGTTCTTCTTTTCTCTATTTGCTTGAGATGAAATCGTGGCATATTCCTATTACTGTGAATAGGAAGGTTGAAACATGGCTTTGAGATAATTTTAGCTCCTCTTGCAAGCATGTTGGGATATGTATTATGAAGTTTTTCATCTATTTTTTTTTATTTATTTAGCATGAGAATATTACTCTAACTTTTAGTGTGGTTTAGGGTTGGAGGTCTCAATTGCAGCTTGGTTTTTGACCCTTGTTGGGTTCGGGTTTTAGCCTTGCTTGGCTCGATTTGGTCTTTAACTAATCTGGAATTTGATGAAAAACTTGGGTTGGCTTGGTTTTACCTTAAAATGGTTGGAACCTTAATTTCTGTTAAAGCTCGAGTTTTTTATTTATGTTTATGTTTTAGCCTTGAGTGACTCGATTTCTGGCTTCCATTGGGGCTCAGCCTTACCTGTTCTAGCTCTTGATTCTTGCCTGATTATGAGACTTATTTTCAATTTGATTTGGGGTGTGGCTTTATCCTTTTTGCCCCTGTTGGTTTTCGGTTTGCCTAAAAAATGGTTGGGTTTTGGAGGGAGTTCCTGTCTTGGGTATGTGAGTTTTAGGGATTTATTTTTGGCTTGATTTTGGAGCTCAGTTTTTGTCTGGTTCTGCTCTTACTCAAGAGGTGGCTTGGGAGTTTGGTTTGGTTTGTTTTTAGTCCTACCCGTGAGCCTATTGAGAGGTTGCCTGGGACAGTATGTCTCTTCTCCTTCTTGTTGAGTCTGAGTGGCTTGAATTTGATTGTTGAATCAAGTTTGTCATCCAAAAAATTATAATCACTTTAGTTATCCTCTTATGTACGTCAAAGGAGCATAACAGCCGCCGATGGTTCTTTTTGGTTGCCTTAGCCATGAGTCTTACTTGTTCCTTGGGTTGCCTTTGGTCGTGGGACTTGGCAGCTGTCCCTTGCTGCCCTTAGCCGTGAGCTTTACTTGTTCCTTGGGTTGCCTTTGGCCGTGAGCCTTAATGGTTCTCCCTTCCCTTTTTGGTTGTCTTGGCCTAGAGCCTTACCTATTTTTCATCTCTTTGTATTGACCCTGGCCGTGAGCATTTATTTGGTTATATGGGAAGATTTTATGCTTATTTGATATATGAGGCTAAATTTTAAATTGAAAGTTGGAAGATTCCGATTTCTTGCATGAGTTTGGGAGTACTAGTGGTGGTATTCTCCGAGTTATTTTATTTTTTTTTCTTTCGTGAGTTTGGGAGATTTCTGAGCCTCATTTTGGAAAAGCATTTGGTTGACTTAATTAATCCGACGTCTTTCGGGTTTGAAAAATCAACGCAAAGTGTGGTGAAAATGGAGATCCTTGCTAGGGCTTGGCTCCCTTGGGCCCTACTTTTTCAGGTCTTTTCGTGTTGACCTCATTTTTGGTTGAGGTCTAGAAAACTTCTTTAGTAGCCTAGGTCTAGCCATAGGACTTTCCTATTGACTAGTCTTAGAAAACTAGAAAAGGTACCCTCACCATTAGAAATTCAAAACTCTTCTTTTTACTCAGCTTGAAATTCCACATATTGATCTTAACCTCTAGCATTTAGTAGGTAATATCATTATAAAAGAATTCAAGAAGAGTCCCTATAAGATTACTTGGCTTTAGGGTCAACTTGGGTGTTGACTTGGAACTAGGATACACCATATCTTCACAATACATTGATTCATGGTTCATCTAGAATGGATATCTATCCAATTCTATGTGAAATGCCTAACTTGGTCTTTTGCCCCTAGGCACCTCCAAATTACCTAACTGCCCTTGGTACCCAAATTTGGCTAATATTCCCAAATTTTGCCAAGATACCCAAAATTGA